AAAAAAAAAAAAAAAAAAAAAGAGCCAATGGAGAGGGAAAGCTCAGAGATACAGGAGCTGTGAGACGTAAGGTCTTGGGGAGGATCAAGACTGTCTCTCAATCTTAGCTTCACATTGAAATCCCTTTAAAAAACATACACATATATATATATATATACACACACATATATATGGATGCCTGGCTAACCTCCCAGAGATTCACATTATATTGGTATTTTTAAAAAAGCCTTCCCAGGTGACTGTGCAGTCAAGGATGAGATCCAGTGGTCTAGGAAGGACTGGCCTTAAGCTGGAGAATGAAGAATGAGAAAGTCGGTGCAAATTTGAAAATAAGTTTGTAGAAAGAGAAATAGTAATACACTTATAGTCACTTTAAACGATCCACAAAGAAGTTCTTAGCACCTTTTGCCACACAAAACACATCTGTGTCAATTTTCCTTGCTTTCACAGTAGATATTTAGGGAAAGGAAATACCACTAGTATGACTATGTCCTACTAGGATTATTTGTATCCTGCCCATGTAGGACCTAAAGAACTAGATCAACGATCTTTTCTACCATGCTACCTACAAAAGAAACCACTAGGCATTTATACGGTACTCAATTTTTTTAAACTGCGTTCACATCTCATTTTTATGCTTACAATATTTTTGTAAATAGAATAGATATTAATCTCACTAAATTAGGAAATAAAAATGACTTTGCCAAAGAGTTTAGTAAGAAACCAGAATAAAACACATGGCTTCTGTGTATGGCTATAAAAGTGTGTTCTCACAGGACATTTGGCTGAAGGAGCACAGGCTAAAATCTAATGTTTTATTAACCAAACTATGTGTCTTTGGGGGTAGCGTCCAACCAGACTAATTAATTCACACTAGGGCACATGTGGACTACTGGGAACTGTGATAAAGCCACCTGCCCCAATTCGTAACTTAGTGCTTTTTGTAATAGACCATATTAGCATAGAGTCAATGTACAAAGTTTAAAAAAAGTCAAGCAAAAATACCAAAAGATAAGGTATTTCTCTTTTCTACTACTCTTTAAATAAATTTACCTTTAGTAAGGTAAATTTTCTTGATCTTAAATTATTTTTATAAACTCAAAATGAACTGACACATGGGTATAGTAGACTAGAACACAAACATACCTAACAACTCAGTTTAATGTTCCTGAGTGTTCAAGTGAGTAAGTGAAAATATTCCTTTTAAAAAGAGGTGTGGGTTTTTTTTAATGCTAAAGGAAGTCTCTATTATTCTGAGTTTAAAGTTAGATTAATCCAGCCACTGTGAAAGTTTGTCTATCTGTAAAATAATTATTTAAGTGAGAAATGGGGAAAATAAAACAAAAAAATCAGAAATAAACAGTTCATTCTGACATCCCAGCAAAGTTTTTCCCTAGCCGCTATAGTACTGTTTTGTATAACATAACTCTTTAAATCTTTATTCTCCATTATAATAGTAAAATAAATATAGAAAGATCAATTTTGAGTTCAAAACATACTACGAAATAAAGCCATTTAAAGCAATTATATGGTAAATTGTTAGGTAGAGCCCTGATCAGGTGGCTCAGTTGGTTGAAGTGGCATCCTGCACACCAAAAGGTTTCAGGCACGATTCCCGGTCAGGACACATACGTAGGTTGCAGGTTTGATCCTTGGTTGAGGCACATACGGGAGGTAACTGACTGATGTTTTTCTCTCTCTTCCCCTTCCTCTCTCTCTAAAATCAATAAACATATTCTTGGGTGAGGATTAAAAAAAAATTGTTAGGTAGAGAATTATGTTCACTTTATTAGGTTTCCCACCCCAGCCTCAAATCCCATTTAAATTTTACAAGTAGATTAAAGTAACTATTTTACAAATTGTTAATCAGTGGTAAGTACAGGGTTTAGACTTTAAAGGACACTCAGAGTTGAACAGAGGTATTGTGGCTGTTAATAAATCTTTACCTTACCGGCAAGATTATAGAAAAAAATTATCTGAAGATGTTTGACTTTCAGGGACAAGCTGGAGATAATGTCCATGAGAATAAGACTAAAACCTAACTTAATTTCATTTAGGTTTTCAGTCATATCAGAATCTCAATCACCTATGTACATAAAGTAGCAACTTTGACAGGAGAAAAGGTGGAAGCAATTGTAGTTTTTTATTACCCCATCGTAAAGGGGGCTAAGAAGATGAAAGAGGACAGGTACAAACCTACCTTTCTCCAACTTAGAAAAGGCAACTGACTTGAGGCTGCATTGATGACCTTTGCATGTTCCAAGCAGCTCACCAGCTTTTACATCCCAAAATTTGGCTGATTGATCACCTGCTGCTGTAACCTTTAAAAACATGTTATCACTATTTAATAAAGCAATCCTTTACCAGTATCTACTCAGACCCCAATAAAATGAAAGTCACTTACAAGTTTAAATTCACCCGGGACCCAGGCCAGGTCAAAGACAGCATTCCAGTGAGCCATCCATTCTAAACAAAGCAAATGGTGAATGTGAAATGTCTAGACTAGGTTCTGTGGTAAGTCGTATCAATAGCAGCTTAAATGCCATGAAAGCTGTAGTGAAAAGATCAGTGGTCGGCACCCTAAGGTCCATTGGCCAAAGAGCATTACAATGGAGAAGGAAAATGTAAAGAGTGATATAATACAAAACATGCCAACCATTACCACACAGAACATTTGATATCAAATTCATTTCCTTGAGGTGACTAGTAATATATTATCTAAAATGAAATCTTTCTGAAACATTTTCCAGTTCAAAAATCTTCATCCAGGTCTCTGAAGAGAGTCTAAAATAATTTAGTTTGACACTCAAGGTTCTGTAGGCTTTGTCTTTTATTGCAAGGCTTATCTTTCACTGTTTTCTACATACCACATTCAAATGAAACTGAATTACTCCCTATTTCCTTATTATATTATATTCTTTCTTATCTCTAGGCCTTTGCTAATGCTTTTCCCTCCACCTGGAGAGTCCTAACCCATCTCCACTGATCTAAATACAATAGTCCAACTCAAATGTCTTACTGCCTCACAAAAAATTTTCCTCCCCCTCTCTATCCCATGAGGGCTTTCTCTGGCTTCTATAGCATTTTCTTTGTATGTCAGTATCATTTACAGTATTTTAGTTATTTCAACAGTTTACTTACTAGTTCCAAATTATCAGCCTAAGGTCAGTAGAACTTTGTCTGATGTATGAAAGATGCTTGGTCGATATAAATATTTTAAAACAATGTTTCCCCCAATGATTTAACCTTTTTAAAAGAACTGTTTTTAATCCTTAAATGAATTTTTCTTAATTTTCAGTAAAGTCATTTCCATAGTTAACATTTATTGAGAGAAATAGCCTGGTCCTTAAACAGACTTAATCAGAAGTGAATATAATTGGGAATGTAGTCAAATAATAATTTACTCAAGGCTTTATGACTTTAAAATGTTAAAAAAAATTTTAGACCTAGACTTACCTTTAACACACTTCTTTCTATAGGTTTGTGATTCTGTGTTATATAATCTAACGAAGCCTTCTTCATTGGCAACTGCTAGTATATGCTTCATATTGGGAGCTAAATAATAAAGGGAATATATAAAGAGTAACAAAAATTTTAGAGCTGATTATAAAGCTATATACATATACATAAGTATGTAAGTATATATAATCTATATGTAACATAAGTTAATTGAAAGCTCCTGGGTAAACACAAAGACTGAAAAGAGGGAAGAAGATTCTACTCAAATGGCATCTGATATGGTAGAGAGGTAATTTGAATTAAAATTGCTTAAAATTTGCCTTATTATCTAATTCAGTAAATGACTCAAAACCACCAAAATTATCTTCAGATAACCTCTTATTTAGAAAAGGGGTGAATAAAGGGTGGTACTTAAACAAAACAGAAGTGGTCATGGCCAATGGCAAATAAAGGCATATGATGTAGGCCTCCAGCAAGCTGAGTTTATTAGTTTTAAAGCCCCTTTTCACAACCTTTTACTTTTCCTGTTTTAGAATACTAATGGTGGTAATAAGTGTTTCTATTTCTGCTCATTTGTTCCCCAATGCATTCCAGAAAGGTAGGTTCAATCAGATCAAAACAGTTTTCGTGATGGCTGAACCTTTGCAACCCTTTCCCTTTATCAGTTTTTTAAAAAGTGCTACAATGGGCCTATACTTTAGAGGAAATATGTAATTATGCATGAAGAGTAAGAAAAGCCTTTATAAATCAGGAAGAGCAGTTCCTAGAAAAACTCTATCACCTATCTTACTTTGTTGTTGTTTTCTGAAAGGGAGACATCTCTGTATATTTTTCCTCTAAGTGTGAAATAGATTATTTTTGACCAAGCCTAGCTAGACAGTAATTTTCTTACCAGAAGAGAAAGTGCATCCAAAAGGGGGAACTGGGACTCCTGTTTCTCCATAAGAAGTGTGCTCATCATTAGAGTTGCACTGATAACCAGTTAGAAGGGACTGTAGAGGGTATTGTGAAGACCATCCTAAAATAAGATACAATTCCTTATAGAATTTCAATATATCATCACATTTCAGTACTTCTAACAAATGCAGAAGTAAATATTTGTTTTTAAAAGCTTTATATACCTAATATTGATCCACTCACTATCTATGATCCTCTAGAATACAGTTTCTGGTATCTTCCTAAGGAAGAATGAATGAGTGCTCCCAAATTCTGATAAAATATAGCTTTGGGCTTACCATTTAAATAGAGGCTCTTATTAGTACATTTAAGATTGAAAAGAACAAGTGGCCTTTACACATTAAAAATGACCTATCTTCTTCGCCAACCTTTGGTGACAACCACAACCATTAAAACCGTTTTTGGTTTCTAAAACAACATTACTGTAAACTTCTAAGTTACTAGCAACATCATACATAATCAAATAGTTACAGAGTTAAAATATGTCAATGTCCCTACTGTAGCCACCAACATATTCACAAATTGATTACTAGTTTCACTTCCTCTTTCCTTTCCAGTGCTGAAATTCTAGGATTCTAAAATGTTAATAGCAACAAGTCATAGTATCTTGAAGTATATTAAAGTAATTTTAAAGTAAAGTGTTACCTACCTACCCCTAGAGTACAAGCAGTTAGTCCTGGCTAGTAGTAGTAGAGTGAGGGAAGTCTTTTTTTTTTTTTAAATATATCTTTATTGATTTCAGAGAGAGGAAAGGAGAGGGAGAGAAATAGAAACATCAATGATGAGAGAGTCATTGATAGAGCCCACAACCTGGGCACATGCCCTGACCGGGAATCGAACCCCGATCGCCTGGTTCCTAGGTCGACGCTCAACCGCTGAGCCACGCCCGGCAGGGCCATATATATGCATTTCTGAAATTGATCTGTCTAAAAAGGTTGAGGCTCTCTTTTTTTTCTTCTCCGTTCATCACTGCCTTTCTTCTATTTTTAAAAAAAAGGCATTTCCATGCCCCAATCTTATACCTTGCATTGACCCAAAGTATAAAACTTCTGGGACCCCAAATGAAAGACAACTGGATATTTCCTTTAGTAAAGGCATCATGAACACCCAAATCCATCGCTTGAAAATATACACTTTCAATAAAATTTTACTTTTTGCTTTGTAATTATTTATCAAAATTAATAATCTATCTTGTTTTGATTAATTGCATACTAATAATTGCAATGGTAAGTCAATCTCGAAGAACTTCTAACACTTAGAGCCTTACAATCACAGATACTATCAATTTAAATATATTTTTTTACACAGAGGAGTATGATAGGGTGATCAATCAACTTTTCAAGCTTAAAATTAAATTACATTAGGATAAATTCTGTAGAAGAAACAAAGTGGAAATAAATTCAAGGGATAAAAGCAACTATGCAGAATATCTAACAGTTAAAATACTTTATATTTTTAAAAAATCATTAAAGAAATAATTATTGCGGTTTATCAAATAACTAAAGAATTTACACTCTAGTAGATACATTTTTAAAGAGTAATGTAGTATTTTTTTAAAAATGTCAATATTCATAATACGGCCAGAAATTAAATCCTTTATATTTGTTTAAACTTATGATAAAACTATTAGATATCAATTTAAAAATACACAGAAAAGTAATCAGATTTCCATTTTAGAAATATCACTGGCTGCAATGTGGAGAGTAAACTGGAGAGAGGGTAACTAAGAGGCCACTTGGGAGACCTGTTACAGTCCAGACCAGAAGGTATCACAGTTCAACCTAAAGAAATGGAATGGTAAACATAGATCCAAGATACGATGAAGAGGCAAAATGAGTGGGGAAAGAGAGACCAGTCAAGAGGTTTTAAGGAAACTTTCTGGATGTGTTATCTAGAGGAAAATGGAGAAATTTTTATTAACTCTTGGGTTTCTGGCTGGGAAAACTAGTTTAAAATAATGGAACCAGTGCCAAAATAGGTAATATAGCAGGTTTAGGGGAAAAGTGAGTTCAGTTTAGGTATTTGAGTTCCAGATGCCTGTGGCACTGACCATCTGGTTAAAGATACTCATAACGATTTTTGTAGGACTGGATAGAAGAGTCTAGGGAAAGGAAGGTTGCAAGTGGTAAGTGGAAGAAGCCCTGGTTAAGGTTATGATCATCAATGGGAGCAGATGGAAGGAGAAAAGGGACCTAAGATGGAACACTGACATGGAAAGGGAGAGAAGATGGTCCTATAATGTTCAGTGCATAAAATATAAGAATGAATGAATTTCAAAGCCTAACACATAACAATGAATGCGAATTTATGAATGAGAGACAGAGAGGACAGATTGGAGAATTAGGAGAAAATGTGTTACAAAATTAAGGCTTGCCCCAGGTAACAGATAGTAAAGAGTGGAGCTGGATTTAAAATTTAGGCATTAAAAAACAGCAGCAAAAAAAACCACCTCAGGCATTTTTATCTCCAAAGACACAGCTCTTAACCATTGTATTGTATTGCCACTCATGACACAGATAGAGAAGATACTCAAGCAAGGTCCCAGGAGACAAAAAGAAGGTATTTAAAGTATTATTAAAAAGATTATCTAAGAGGGAAATAGGTAAAAACGACAAAGTTTTGGATTGGGGGCAGAAAGTTGAGGGACTACTCAGTCTCCTTCTCAATATCCTTTTCCTAGACCAGGGATTTTCAACGTTTTACATCTCATGGCTCACATAAACTAATTACAAAAATTCTGCAGCACACCAAAAAATGTACTTTTTGCCGATCTGAAAAAAAAAAGGGGGGGGGGCGCATAATTTTGATTCATTCACACCGGGCGGCTATTGTTGTGTTGGCTGTTGTCATTTTCTTTTTTGACAATCTAAGTGAAGAGGTCAATGCCCCGACTAAATAGTCAGGTTTCAAATTTTCTTTGCGGCGCAAGGGTTGAAAATCGCTGTCCTAGACCTATGCCTTAAATATAACAAGTTTCCGTCTCAGGTTCTTTTCTTTTTGTTTTCCACATGATTTTAAACGGAAAGAAGACCTATCCTTCTTTAAAGGAATGAAATTTCATTTCCATCCAAGCTCAGTCTGGGTAGTAACTTCCTTATCGGAAAGTTTCAGGTCAAAATTCTTACTGCCAAAATTTTAACTTAAGGAACCTCAAAAACTGTAGAGAATAAGTTGGATTTCTACATACTGACATGGAAATATTCCCAAGGTACACCGTTAAAAGTTAAAAACAGAACAAAAACATTTTCATACCATTTCTGTAAATAACAATACACACTACCTCTGGTATTGAAAAACATTTGGGAAAATATACTTCAATCTGTTTAACAGTGGTCACCTCTGGGGTGTGTGGTTATGGGCGTTTTTCACTCTATAATTTCAAATATTTATGCGTATGAAGTAATTCAGGGAGGAAAAAAAAGCATTTTGACCATGCTAGAAGCAGATGTTCTGTCTTCTCTGCTTGACTGAGTTCCTTAACAGCGGGTCGGATTCACGAATGTTCCTACAATAAATGTTCCTAGGGCTCACTAAGATTCTACAACAAATTAATTCATCAGTGAATACGAGTATCCTCGATCTCCCATGGCTGTCGAGAGAAACGCACACGCGCACGCGTTTTCCACTGGAAGTGTAATATAGGCATAAGCCGTGAAGGAGGCCATTTAAGTCAACTTCCCTCCCTCCGTCAGCCTACATTGCAGTTTTAAAACTCCAGACTACGATTAAAAGTGTCCCGAGAGCATGAAAGCACAACTCTCTTCCGTCTTTGCTACCACGAATTCACTCCGGCCGTGAGAGAGCTCGGGGGCTGGGAAACTGGAGTCGGCCTCGGTCCGAGGTGTGGTTTCGGGGGAGGCGAATCCCGCCAGCAACAAGCAGCGGTTAAGGCCGTTACTCACCATTTCTCGGGACGCCAAACTGGGGCTGACGGAGCACCGAATTGAACAGCATCTGGGCCGGGGAGAAAGGCACAACTGAGAGAAAAGTCGTAGAAATGCCCCCAGGTGGAGCAGAAGCCGTGGCTTGGGTCCTTCTTAAAGGACTAGTTGTAGCCTCCAACTCCCGCCACTGTAAGCCCCGGCCACCAAACTCCCCGCCAAACTGACGTCACGCCCTCTGATTGGCCCTCACCGCGGCGTCCGGGCGCCGTCGACTCACTTCCCCCGCCGAATCCCCGCCTCCTTTTCTCCCAGCCGCGGGAACCTAGAGTTCTGGAGCTCCCTGAGCGCCTGCGCGGGGGGCCGTTAGAGGCGCTGGCGAACGGCGGGGAGGCCCGGGCGCATGCGTAACATGACTTGACAGAGCGCGGAGGAAAAATCCGCGAGGTGGTGGAAGAAGATGGCGGTGGTGGGGCCGAGTTTGCAATATTTCTGAATAGGCTAGTGCAGTAACTATTCGGGTCATGGCGTCAAACTCAACTAAGTCTTTCCTGGCAGATGCCGGTTATGGCGAACAGGAGCTGGATGCTAACTCTGCCCTTATGGAATTAGACAAAGGTACTCGAAAGAGCGGGCTGAGCGGGTGTGACGGATGTGGGGGAAGTGGCGCCACCAGGCGGTAGGCGCCTCGGGCATGCGCATAGCTTCCCCCGGCGGGGGCGGGCGCGGGCGCATGTGCTGTTGGTGAGTCTGGGAGACTGCGGGGAAATTGCCGCGTTGCTGGATTGGCCTTGTGCGCATCGCGCGAGCGGCGAGCTTTAGTGGCCGGCCCGTTTTGACCGCTTGGGGGCGCAGTACCCCCTGTTTCCAAGCGGTTTTTTAAAATGCAAAATTGACATTGTGAGGTTATTTTTCAGAACGTTCAATTGACACCAAGTTTTCACCAAGAGAGGCGAATAATAATCGTGCCCCGACTTGATAGCATCCCCTGCTCCTTCTCTGCAGACGATCCCGAGAGTTCTGCTTCCTCACGGGGGCGGGGAATGGGCAGCTGGTGTAGAAGAACGAGCTTTGGAGTTAGATTGAGTCGAATTGCAATTTCAGTAATTTTATTATCATGGACGAGTCCCCTAACTCCACCTAACCTCGGTTTTTCGTCTGCAAAGTGGGTACAGTACTACTGAGCTGGCAAGATTGTTGTATTGATAGAAAATAGAATTTATGGAACAAAAAATGTATTAAGCGGTATAATGGTCTGCAAAAGAAGCCTTTATTAAATGCTAAAAAGAGATATGCCCTCTTTCTTAGATGTGAATAAGGAAGACAAGGCCAGGTATTTGTGAGTTTAGAACTCAAGTATTAAAATGAAACCTTTGTTTCAGTGTATACTTCTGGGATTTTTATTGAATGGGGAAAACATTTGGCCACCTGCTATACAATTAATTCTTGATTAACTGTAGCCAATGTATAATGTATTGAGAGCTGGACTAAAAGTTAGAAGGATCTAATTTAAGTCCACTTTGAGCCTTTTCCCAGATCTCTGACCTGGATACTCTATTAACTTTTGGGGGACTTTTTTTTGTTTTGTTTGTTTCTTTGTTAACCTGTAAACATTTCTAGTAGGTTGGTATAGATAAGAGTTTCTCAGACTTTTATAAAAGCCTTTAACTCCTTTTGATCAACAAAAATGTCACAACACTCCAATATTCCTTTGGTTGAATCACAGAATTTTTAGTGCATCCCCACCAGTCAAGAAAGTAATATGAGCTTTACTTTCTCTTACCAAAGCTATACAGCTTTCCCCCTCTGAAGTATAAAATTATAACGTTAAATGTGTTTTTTAAACACTAAATAACCTTTTCCTTCCCCTTCTGATAATTCCTTGCTTATTCCCCATGGAGAGTTGCAGGTCCAGGTATATAATATTCTTACCAATTTTACAGACATTTTGTACTCTAATCCAGGTGGGCTCATCCATAATGATAGTAGGACAGTGGTCGTAAAACAGAAATTAGAATGGGGCTCTGAAGAAATGAGAAATCTAGAATTAATTCTTTAAAAATTACAGTTATGGTAAGAAACAAATATAACACAAAATTTCCTTCCTAAAAGTTGACATAGAAATATTTCACATCTGTAAGAAATAAATGGATGGCTATTGAGTGTTTAACTGTAAACCAGGTGTCAGTCTTAGATATTAAGTAAGTGATTGTGTTCATTTCTCCCAGCAGTGCCCTGTAATGCTATGAATTTCCCTCTTAGGACTGCTTTCACTGTCTTCCATAGATTTGGGGTTGTGTTCTTATTTTAATTTGTTTCAAGGTAACCTTTGATTTCTTCTTTGATTTCATTGTTAACCCATTCACTGTTTAGTAACATGTTATTTAGCCTCCATGCCTTTGTGTGTTTTTCAGTGTTTTTTTTGTGGTTGATTTCTAGTTTCATACCATTATGGTCAGAGAAGATATTTGATATGATTTCAGTCTTCTTAAACTTATTGAGACTAGTTTTTGTGTCCTAACATGTGGTCTATCCTAGAAAATGTTCCATGTGCACTTGAAAAGAATGTATATTCTACTGCTTTGGGGTGAATTCTCTGAAGATATCAGTTAGTGTGTCATTTAAGGGCACCATTTCCTTATTGATTTTTCTTTTGGAAGATTCATCCACGATGTCAATGGGATATTAAAATTCCTTACTATGACTGTATTACTGTTGATCTCTCCCCTGTATGTCCATCAAGATTTGCTTTACATATTTAGGTTCTTCTGTGTTGGGTGCGTAAATGTTTAAAAGGGTTATATCATTTTATTGGATTGTTCCTTTTATCATTATGTAGTGTCCTTTGTGTCTTACTGTAGCCTTTGTTTTAAAGTCTTTTTTGTCAGATTTAAATATTGCTACCCCAGCTTGTTGTTTTTTTCATTTCCACTGGCATGAAGTATCTTTTTCCATCCCTTTACTTTTAATCTATGTGTATCTTTCATTCTGAGGCAGGTACTTTGTAGACAGATATAGTCCAGCTACCCTATGTGTTTTGATTGAAGCATTTAAGCCATTTATATTTAAAGTGATTGTTGATAGCTACATATTTATTGCCATTTTATCCTTTTAACCTTGTCTCTCTGTTTTTTCCCTTCTACTTCTTAAAGCAGACCCTTTAACATTTCTTATAATATTGGTTTAGTGGTAACAGTCTCCTTTAGCTTCTTCTTGTCTGGGAAGCTCTTTATTTCTCCTTCAATTTTAAATGATATCCTTGCTGGGTTAAGTAGTCTTGATTGTCGGTCCTTTTCATCAATTTGAATACTTCATGCCAATTCCTTCTGACCTGAAATGTTTCTGTTGAGAAATCAGCTGACAGTCTTATGGGAGCTCCCCTGTAGGTAACTGTCTTTCTCTTGCTGTGTTTAAGGTTCCCTGTTTGTCTTTAACCTTTGTCATTTTAATTATGATGCGTCTTGTGGGCCTCTTTGGGTTCATCTTGTTTAGGACTCTCTGTGCTTCCTGGACTTGTGTGTCTTTTACTTTACCTGGGTAAGGAAGTTTTCAGTCATTATTTCTTCAGATAGGTTCTTGATCCCTTGCTCTCTCTTCTCTTTGTGGTATCCATGTAATGTGGATGTTATGCTTCTTGGTGTCCTAAATGTTCCTTAAACTATGCTCTGTTGGGGTTAGGGGAATTGCATTTTCAGTATTGGATGGAAAGGGAAAGTGAGCTTCCCAAGTCAGAGGGGGAGCTGACATATATAGAGAAGTACCTGACCCTCCTCCCTGATTGGTCTGTTCTCCTGTAAATGAGAACTCCAAATCCTCACAGTTTGGTCCAAAAAGCACTGTCCTGATTGGTCAGAGTAAGGCTGCTCTGATTGGTTGGTGAAGATGCTAATAGGGATATAGCCACACAGCTCCTATTGGGTAGGGAAAGTCTCAGTCCTATTGGTTGAAATATGATTCCAGGAACTCCTTTGTAAGGGTTGGCTCAGGCAGAAAGAATACAATGCGGACAGGCAGTTCAGTGCAGGCTTCACCCTGAAGTGCAACCTGTGTGAGAGGCCCCTGTTTAGCAACAGCTGCTAGACTCTGTTTCTAAATTTGAGCCCAGCAGGAGATCTTGGTGTAGGTATATTCTTTCTGGTGTCCACACATTTAATGTTCCTTGAAGCACTACTTTAGTTGCATCCCACAGATTGTGTTTTTATTTTATTTAGGTCAAGAAAATTTTCTAGTTTCCCTTCTCATTACTTCTTTCTTTCATGAGGTATTTCGAAGTATGTTGTTAAATTTCAAATATTTGTGAACTTTATAGGTATTTTACTGATTTAATTATCATCAGAGAACATAGTATGATTTTAGTCCTTTTAAATTTTTTGAGATATACTTTATGGCCCCAAATATTCTTAATCAACTCCTTCTTAATCAAATATTTTTGTTAAAATATTTTTTCATTATTTTTTATCTCAAAGTGGTAATATACCAAGTTACTATTTTATATATCATTTTTATTTTTTAAAAGGTAATGAATTACAGTTGTACTTTACCTAGTTAAGAATTTATTGTTAATGATAATAAAGCATTGTAATCTGCAATAAATAAATTATATTATTTCAAAAACAAAAACAAAAATAAAGGGGCCAGTAAATTTAAAAAAAATAACAATGAAAAAAATTTTATAAAGAAAAAAGAATTTATTGTTATTTTGCTACATATACAGGGTGGGGCAAAAGTAGGTTTACAGTTGTTCAAATGGAAAATAATATATTAATAAATAATACGGGAATAAACTCTGGTTTGCATAGTCATAACTGTAAACCTGCTTTTGCCCCACCCTGTATAATCTTACTGGATAATACTGTGTTAGTATTTGCTTTTTTTGCCTTACTGTAGCCACAAATGTGTAAGCTGTTCCCCTCCTCTTTATGTTTTTCATAGGTCTAAGATCTGGCAAACTTGGTGAACAATGTGAAGCAGTGGTTCGCTTTCCCAGGCTCTTTCAAAAGTATCCATTCCCTATTCTCATCAATTCTGCATTCCTAAAGTTAGCTGATGTTTTCAGAGTTGGGTAAGTATTTCGAAAGCCTTAGTGTCCTAGAGCACTTTGCTCATGTCTCTGTTTTATATTGTGGTCTTTATGCTTTCTGACTTTTAGAACTTCCACATGGTTGGTTACCCTTTTAGTGGACACACAGGTAGCCTGTAGTCCTTTTTGGTGGGAGATTTAATGATTTAAGTAAAAATAAAGAGTATAAATTAGAGAGTACTTATTTCTTTGTGTAACAGGA